AACTACATCTCTACGTTCGAGTTTGCCCCTGTGACAGCGGGACTGCTACTGAGGCGTAACAGGCTTGGCTGACACGCAAACACCCCAGTAGTGCTCATGGCACCCTCACTCCCGTGGGGGGCAACTACGTTGTCGTTGAGGTCACTCAAACACCGAGAACTGAGCTTCTACTTTCGTCAATCCTCTTTGCGTATGAGTATCTCTCCTGTAGTCTCTGGACAAGTGCAGGAAAAGAGAGAGAGACAGACTTCATATTCGGTGCCAACTTTGACGAACGAATCGAACGCTGAGAGAAAATAAAATTGTGGAAATATGACATTATGATGGTTGCTATGACAGGATATTTTCATGTACTTAATCAATCGAGAAAGTAAAAATATCTTCGTAAAGCTCACAGTCAACTTATATGTACCTACCGCCTTATTTCGCGAAAAATTCTCGTATTACGAGTAAAAAAATCAAACACATTTTTGGAGTGGTTGTGTCCTGTATATTATACGTGACAGCATCGGCATGTGACGTAACACCGATAAAACCTCCACTTGGCCGATACGCAGTCACGTATCTTGATATGAGCAAGAGAATGAAAAATCTTGCTTTGTCTTGCGTGCTCTTGCACTTCGACAATTTATGTTTTCATTTCAGTGAGATTGATAAATCCACGCTCATAAATTTCAGAAAGCCATAGTTGGAAAAGAAGAGGGAAATTCTGCATCACTTTACTGTAGTGGTCATGTTGCCCGACTTTGCCTGATTATTATTATGATAAAGCGAGAATACATTACACATCGTTACCTGTACCGACCGAGTGGTACTTTTCCGCATGCGAGCATCAACACATACATGCACGGGAGAGAAAGACCGGAGCATTGTATAGGTCTGTTCAGATCTAAGAGTGGTAGGCGACTGTCCTCTTCTCGTTCGCGATCAGTCTCGTGTCACGTGTCTAACACAGCGTTTCATTCATTCAGTCAGCAAGCAATAAAGTCCCCAGTAAGACCATTGTAACCCAGTAGGACCATTGACCAGAGTAATACCGAAGAATCCTCAGACAGAGATAATCAGAAAGTGTCAATAAATACCACTTGTGAAAGTGAAAAATACGGAAATTATTCTACAATCAGTCATGACAAAGAGAGCGAGAATGCGGTTAAGTTTGGTTCCTGCAAAATTCCTTCATGCCACAATAGAATGAAAATAAAAATGAAAAACAGAAATACCAGCGGTTGAAGTGGTATTTACCGAAGCATCACAGAGATATCTATTATTAACTGTTCGAAAAAAGCGAAGAAAAATTCGTGTGATCGGCATAAAATTGATGAAACGAACAAATTCGCATTTTCTAAAAAGGTATTTGGTAATAATGTGTTGTTTTCATTTTTTCTTTTCATTTCGTCGGAAATAAATCAATTGATTCCATATCGTTCTATCCCAACAAAGATTTTGGAGAAAGCAGATAATTCTTGTCTTGATATGTTAGTTGTAGTTGTTGACGAATAAGAGATTCTTCAAGACCAATTTAGTAGAGTATGTTTGGATGAAGTATCTGCCCCTCATTTTTTTGGATGATGAGACTTTTCAGAGGTTCTATGGAAATATCAATGAAAATTTCAAATTTCAAAAAGGACTGACATTTCATGACAGAAAGTGTGGCTGAGGTTCATGCTCAAATGAGGCTTATCATTTTAGCACTGGTCCAGGGAAACAGCTCACGTGTCTCATTCACCCTAGAAGGGTGGATATCCATAAGAGGTAAATCCTATTACTCCATAACTATCCATTACATTGATGATTCGTGGAGCCTCCAGTCGTTGGCATTAGACTTCATCCCGTCAAAAGGGAAACACAGTGGGGCCGACATCGCGGAAATGTTTTTCAAATGTATCAAGGAATGTATGCTTTTAGATAAACTCCAAGGTATCACTGTGGATAATGCGTCTGTCAACAGCATCTTTATGAATGAATTGCAAAAATTTATGGAGAGGAATGGTAAAAAATTTCACCAAGAAAATCAATATTTTCATTGTTTTCCACACGTCATCAATCTATCAGTGCAAGCATTATTGAAAGAGTTGAGAACGTAGATGAAGAACAATTAGGTGATGGAGAATTGAATAATGATAATGATGAGATGAGTGATGATGATAATGAAGATATTGACTACGATGAACCGGAAAATAAAATGAAGGAGAGGAAGTAATTTCCTATAATATTGAGACTTCGGAATGTCTGCAAAAAGTTGAGAAAATCGAAACAGTTAACCCTCAAGGTCAAAAATATTACCAAAACTTTGATGAAAAGCTAGTTCAAATACCTATGGATATGTCAACTAGGTGGAACAGCACACATGACATATTGGCAGGTGAACTGAAGATGAAAAAAGCCATCTCAGCATTGAGAAGCAACGAGAAAAAATTCAATCATTTGGTCATTGATGAAGCTAAATGGGAATTACTGCATAAATTACAAAAGTATTTGAACTAATTTATACAATTCTCAACTCTTTTAGGTGGAGACAAATATCCGACTCTCCCAGCACTGATTGTTGGAGCTAATATTTTGTTAGATAAGCTCGAAAAGTTATGCCACTCGTGAGATCAAAAGCCGGATCTTTGTCCAGATGACAAGATATTGATTATCGCCTTTAAAGCAGCCCGTGACAAATTGATTAAATATTATAGTTTGACGAACTAGATCTATGGTGTGGTATTGATTCTCGATCCTCGTTATAAACTTGAATCGTTTGAGAAAACTCCATCGGGCAAAAATCTGAAAAATGAATCCTATAAACTGTTCGAGAAGATATTGAAAACAAATTATACTGAAGATACCCTACGAAAATATCCAGTAATGAGGTGTCAGTGGACAACAACAGTGACTCAGACGAAGAGTACAGAAAACAAATGAAGCTATTGTACGGATCAAGAAGGAAGGAAGAATGGAGGACAGAGCTGAGTAACTGTTTGAGTATAGCAAGAGCACGCATGGACGAGGACATTTTGAAGTGGTGGAGTACTAACGCAAAGAGTTTTCCTCGTTTGCCTCATATGGCTCGCGATTACTTGGTAATATGTGCATCGAGTGTACCGTTTGAGAGGCCGTTCTCCAAAGCTAGTATCCTCATCAGAAAATACCGGAGTCGATTGAGCAACAAGAACGCTGAGTGCTTGGTATGTATGAATTCTTGGTTTTCATCTGCACTTTCTCCTTGCATAAAAGATGCCTTATTCGAGGAGAAACCCTCAACATAATTGATAATGTGTTTATTCAAAGCAATGGCGTTATATGATTGAGAAATAAAGAGTTTTTGACAAAACTTAAAATTAATTATTCCTTCTCTCGTTCCATATCTCTTGTTCTTTCCTGCCTCTTGCAATTTTGTCTCTTCTCTTGTCTTGTCCGTCTTAGCAAGAGGAAAATCTATCTCTTATCTTGCACTCTTCCGGCATCAGTAGCGAGATGAATTGAATATAGTGGTCGGTCCCACAATTTTCCAAGCATAAAAAAATGGTTCAGATATATTCTTTTACGACGAATTGAAATAAGTCTGAATAAGAAAATAAAATCGGTACCTAGCTATGCATGGGCGAAAACTAATTTGATTCCAGAATGCAGTAAGTGAGAAATGCAGGAATTGAAAAAATCAGATTGGAAATTTAGCTCCATACAGCTGGAATAGCGGGCCAAACCAAGGATACTTCTCCATCATAAAAACTCAAAGACTAACAGGGAAATTTTACAATAAAATGAGTAAAAACTGAAGGTAATAGTCACCACGCTGAAAAGAATATTGAAGATTCTGATTTCATTATTAAAAGTGGCGTGATAGTATAAGGTTGCGGAGGGTCTTTTGAGAAAAACATTCATAAATGCACCTGTTTAGAAGAGAAAAATGATAATACACTCAAAGAAGGACAATCTCCAATTGCACGTGCTTTCAAAAAAGTAGTTTAGTTCGAATCTATTGTTCCGAAAAAAACGACAACCACACTTCGGATGTGGAGATGAAGTATTAGTAGAATAACTCTGATTGAAAACTGAAATAGACAGAACAAAAAAAAATGAGAAGTGAAGAATGAACAAAAAATCGTGCACTGAAAATGGAAGAGTTCAAAGCCATTCGAATAAAAAGTGTCGGAAGCAGAAAACTTAAAAAGAAGAAAGAAAACTCAAAGAAGCTGCGCTCTCTTAGCTAAGAAAAAAAATAAGAGAGGAAAAGACAAATAAAAATTTATCCTCCATGCAACTACATCTACCAAAGGAATTGAATAAAAATATTGGCAACGATTCGTCCGTTAGTTAAGTGTCAGAATCTGCGTCTCAACTTTCATCAAATATTCATTTTCGCTGCTCGACTACCGACTACTGATAAAAGCTTGGACATAAAATTCAAAATATATATTTAATCAATGGTTCTCCTTAATAAACTAGACTTTCTACAAATGTTGGCGGACGCTGGGTCACTGCGTAGGTCGAAATATCAAATAAAAGGTGAAGCCTTGAGGTGAGGTGACCGTAGCTAGTTACGACAGATGATGTCCGGAGGAAAAAGTATTTTATAAATCCCATTCAATGGGGCCTATTGCATAGGACTGAGTACTAAAGTACGCAATGGTTATTAAATGAGAAATTAGCACGTAAAGAGAAAGATAACCCGAAGTTTCCCTTCAAATAGATTTTTAAATTTATTACACTTTACTCGAAATACAGCAAAGTAAAAAGTCCTAGATAAAACCAGGGGTAGAGGAAAAAGTGTTGGAAAGAATAGTGTAAATATAGTTGGTGTGTTTTCTGACTTACGGCGGTGAAAATATATGGCAGTCGGGAAAGGGGGGGGGGTAGTTGTCTCTGGGTGTTTCGTGTTCGTAGTACATTCCGGAAAACACCAAAAATATGTTAGCTTCTGTAGCACTGATGGAGTTGAGTACGCACTCCTTCATTCATTTACGTGGAAACTACTTTTATCTGCAATATGACCAGGATTCGTTTTTTGCTTACAGACACATCTTACTAAATGGATTCGTGATCATAGAACCCATCACAGATTCACGGAAACAGCTGCGGATCCTCATGATGCCAATCGAGGATTTTTTTTTTCCCACGTTGGTTGGCTTATGATGAAAAGACATCCAGCGGTCATAAAATATGGAAGTAAAATCGATATGAGTGACATTCGAGCTGATGGTGTTATCCAATTCTTTGATAAGTAATTGATATTTTCAATAACTCTTAGTGATTAGGATGTTGAAAGTTATGTAAATCAGCTGATACATACACTGAGCGGATTTGACCTGAAACATCTCCATGTGACTGATATATGAAATGCCTTAATCAGTTAAACGTGGAATATGTCAATTCTTGGTTTGGTGTTTCTCATTTCATTTCGTTTCTGCCATTTTTTTTTGATAATTGAAATAATCATAGCCGGCCTGCTGTCGGCAAGCTCGGATAATCAGATATTTAGGTTTCTAACATTAAAGTGAATTATTCGGGCATCACAAATTTCATGGATTATTTTCTCGACACAAAGATCGACCAATGCAATTGCACCATTCTACCCTGCGTGGTACAATCTATAATACAGTCAGCATAGGTTGTTTCTTTTCTGGCTACACTGACTTCACGTAATTACCACTTGTAACCATGTCGCCCACTTCCAAAATGGAAGGAAATATTTATGCTGACTTCAGTATACATGGTATTATATAGATAATTTTTTGATGATACCATCTGGTAGTTGCTACTTAAAGAGAAAACATTATCCAGTCAAATTAACCCCACGACAAACTGATATGAAACTCTTACATATTAACTGAGAGTTACGTCTCATGGTGTAATTATATTGGCCGACATTTGGGTCGGGAAACTAATTCCTCGAATATCACACAAGCTTCAGAATTATGTGGCGTTTTTCAGGAATAATCACTCACGCTTAGCGCTCGTGCGGTTTCAGCCTGAAGAACTGGACTCCTTAATTGTTTGCAACGAACCTATCGGAAAAAGCCCGATCATTTTGAAGTTCGTATGAGCCCGGTGGCCTGACGTAGTGGTTAAGGCCGTTGCCTCACAACGGATAGGTTCCAGGTTCAGTTCCTGGTCTGGTAGACTGGTGAGATCTAACCAGGTTCAAAAAAGTCTTGATCAATCGCCACATAGTCTCCTCCGACTCGAAGCGATATAAAATAAGCATTAAAAAAAAAGAAGTTCGTATGAATTGTAAGTGAATATTTTTAGAATAGGAAGCCAGTAACAGGGGTGTATTCATCGGTAATATAAATAGATGTGCAGCATATTGACCAAAGGGGGATAAATACCCCATGTTTTTCAACAATTTGGATGTCACGTTTACATTTGTATTTTCATTTTCGGTAAATGTCAATTACTCCAGCACCAGGACCAGCACCAGCACACTTGATATTGATTTTTACCTGGAGCGATAGCTTTTTACCTCTGCAATCCGACTCTGGAAACCGTATGTGGGGGAACCAAATAGTTGGTTGGGAGGATCCCATATAAATAATATCCCTCTCCGCGCCCAGGTTAATTATACGGGCGCAAAAGATGTCTGCACCTTAGGATCCAATGTCTTCAATTGCGCGAGATACTTGGCTCATGGGCACCCTGGTCTGAGGAACGACCTAAAGAGGCCTAGTGAAGTCTTCACTGCCCGACCAGCTGATGACCAACTAATTGCGGTGAAGCATATTCAACATGGAGAATCGTCAAGTGATTCATACACGGGGGTTGATGGATTAGTTATAGTCCAAATAAATAGAAACACTTCAAATGAAAAATCAATAAAACCAATCCTTACGCGGGAATTAATACTTAGAAGAACGACTGAGGCGGTGCCTTGCATTACAAATCAGCGATGATAAGAGACGGGGATCGTGAATAAATTGATTGGCTTGCGAAACGATGAACATACCTACGTAATATGCTGTAGAATGAAATGAGATGGAAATTATTGCAGACACATTTGCCTATGCGCAATATGTCATCTTAAAAAAAAGAAATAACTTTAGATAAATGATAACATTCATAATATGAATGTGTCAGGAAGCTGGTGGCATCCTTTGGAAACCTACAACAAATGTAAGTTTCAGTTTGGGTTTTGACTAGGGTGGCCCTCCAGAAGCCTTTAGCAAAGTTCTAACCGTGCCGTCGCTCATCTGAGTCAAAAAATTATTTAAAAATGTGCGCGAAGTTTCCAGGTCATAGCTTCGTGGGAAAACGTGCTGGTGGAACTTTTTTTTTCATTTAAATAATACGAGTTTTCATTATCAATTGAAACTTATATAAGGTACGCATCGTGTGAGCATTGGTGGCGGCCTCACTGTATCATGGTATGGTAATGCAAAGACTCGGGTGAACGAGTGCAAGTGTATCAGCCTCATCGGCTAATACGGTGGAAGATGAAGGAATGCCAAGTCGCGAAGCAAAAAATTTATTAAAACCAGATTTTCTATAGAAATGTTGGTAGACTGGTGGGGATGGGGAGATATAGATTCCGAATTTTCGGGCAGCACTTCAGTTGCAATCATGGAGAATCTGTTACCAGTACTGGCCCGATTTTGAAGATATAGTCGACAAATATTTCGACGATGTTGCACAGGAAAATATCTGAAGTGATGTACTACGGAGCGGAACTATGCCGTTATGAGAAAGAAGAATGAGGAAGATGGTTGAGATGGCTCACTCCTTTCATTATCCATCCACATTACGAAAAAACTGGTCGTTATTCTTAATTGCATTGAAGAATTGACAGTGAGAGTGGATGATAATTTCGTGCGAGAGCGTTGCGTTATTTCATGGAGCACTGTCCAGCAGCACTTCTGCTAGGTATTCTATATGAACTCAAACTCAGTGTAAACATCATGTTTGAGTCATTGTGAACCAAGACTGACTCGTCTCTTGGTTATGGGGTTTTTGATGAGAAATAAAAATATTTTCTTTTTCTGTACCTATTATTTTCTTATTGAAGTCAAACTTCTTGGACGGAAGGAGACCTGGGAGAGAAACGAAAACCCGACAGATTCGACATAGGAAAAAGCGAAAAAAGGGTAGCATGCGTGGAGGGGCATTAGCTCCGACGAAATGAGCTATGGGTATCATGGGAAGGGGCGGGGAGGGGGGAGGGGGGTGTAGAGCAAATTCCGGGCATCAAATTAATAATATATGCATAAATAAAAGCACCAACGCAGGAAAAATAAAACAGAAAATATACAGCGTAAAGCCGACGATCATAAAATATTAGTACATATAATAATCATAAAGCAAGTAGACGATGCGTCAGATTCTTGAATGGAAGTTTCGAATCTGCGCTAATTTCCTAGGGAACGGGAAATTAGTAAATAACAAAATTTAGAATCGCTCACTAATGTATCGATCTCCTCAAGACTTTGGCCCGTTGATAAAAAAATTTAAATTGTGACAATTCGTAAACTGGAATGTAATCCCGCTGGATGTGGAGAAAGAGGACGAAGGCTTTGCTGCGGTCATGATGACATTTTGAGAGGTGGTGAATTCTCTTGATTTTCAGCCGGATGGGGGGGTGTGAGTTCGATTTGGTTCACTTCTTTCCTCTATTGCTTGGAACTTTTTGGGGCACGGGATGGTTCCTCCGGATCCATGATGGCATTGGTAATTTTGTCACATACCTTCCTCTTTTGAGCCTTAGACTCCTGAACATACCCATAGGCTACTTTATCCGATTTCCAGCCACGATACTGTTTCAGCTAGATCAAATCAGCACCGGCATTCACAAAAATTGTTGATGATGACCGGCGACAAGAATGTCCTGTATAACTCTCAGGATCAGGTAGCTGGAAATATGTGGCAATTAACTTTGGCATTGGTGTTGATTCCAATATTTCGACGACAGCATTTCCCGTTTCTGTAGCTACAAAAAAATGCTTGGAATCATAGTCAGGTGGTCGTAATCCCATATACAACTTCACGGTACTGTAAAAAATTCCTCTGACTGCAAAGGTTCGACGATCATTACTTTTGGTGAGTGGAATGTCGCCAATCAGACAACCTCCTTCGTCCTCGATATCGTCCATGGTCCACAGGTCGCCCCGTCGAGTTGCTCCAAACATAACAAAAATGAGTCATACCTATACCAAATTTTAAATAATAAATTACTAAATCATCCAGTCATAGTTTTTTTCAATTTCACATTTCATGATTTCTTTCACTTACCTGCACAGCCAACCAGTGTTCATCGGACGCCGCTGTGACAAATCTTTTCACTTCCTGAGTAGTGAAAACTTTAGATTTTTTCTTCCTGTGGCCTTTGTTCGTGTTTTTCAGGAAAACATTCAGTTTGGAGTACCGCTAATGTTGTTTTCATTATTCAGATTTATAATATTTTTCAGTATGGAATACACCGTCCATAGAGTCGAGGGTCCGCGGTTCGATCTACACAGATAGTTAAAATATCCCAGGAGAATTTTTTCGTTTATTATACGAATTTAATTGTGTTCCATCCAAGTCTTGAATATGGCATAAGTATTATTATAAACATCTTTGGGTTTCGCAGGCTGCCACTGCTGATTTGCTTCATTTATTAATTCCAATAGCTCGCCTGATATTTGTAACCAGATTTTTTCGTTACTAGTGAAAAGTACTAGAGAAAGTCACTAGTAATAGAAAACGACATCTAACGCCGGCTGAAAGAGCCGAGCGAGAGAGGAATCGGGCATCGGACGACGGCCGATCAGGCCGCTCGGAAAGTGAAGGAGACCAATCGTCCAGTGGGAAGAAACGTGGTAGGGTGAGACCATGTTTTGGAACACAAGGATGATGCTGACGATGGCTGTGACCTATTTCCTGAAATCCATCCAGCTGTGTTAGGGAGTCCAGGGCCGACGTACAGGTGTTCCAAATGGGTGGTTCGGAAGGGCGCCGTCGATTTAGACGGGGGACCGACGGCTACGTGAAAGGACTAGCGCTCCCGTGATCCCGTCGAGCTGATTGGTGGCTGTGGGGTAACGGATGACGCACAGACGCCGAGAAGTTCAGACTAGGGAGAGAAGTTGGGGTGGGTCCAGGGTCGGGAATCGTGTCGATTCCCGTAGGCCCAATCGCACGTGCCTCCGTGAGACGTAGTTCTGGTTTTGCCTTGCGATGAGATTGCTATTACTAAGCATCCTCGAGATGTGGTGGACATCAGGTGGGTGAGAAAGGTCTCCGGAAGCTAAT